CCACACCGAACATCGGTTGTGGCCCAATCGCCTTTGAGGACAGCTTTGCGTCGAGTGTTCCCGCGTTCATCACGTATATCGAGGTGCTGATATCGAGGGCAATGTCAGCGAACAAGGAGCACGCTAATACAGCAAAATTACCTTTTCTATCCTGTGATTGATTTCCACCTCCGTGACTTTCAGAATGACGCATCGTGTAGATTTCTTCGTTGCATACTCCCGGAAAGGAGATAGCTAAATGAAGATGTTAGAAGGATATCACGATAATATGAGGTCTCCATACTTGATTCGAAGGACTGGACGAAGATTCATCATCACTGGGTTCCCATCCATCTGACCAATTTATACCATCACACAAGATATCAAGATCTATACTTGCACTGGTGCGCTATAGAGATTATGAGAGATAGGTTCACTAATGGATCAACGAATACGAAGAGAAAACCATTAGGCTTACAAGTCGCTTTAAAGATGACTGGAGCAAAGGAGTAAGGGACTAGATATGCGTCAGAACGAGTGTGCTGTTACTGGGTCAATTCCTTACTTTTAATGCGCGTGTGGGAGTATGCAGGGAAGAGGAACCGATATTTTTAGATTTCCGTTGCAGAGTCGGGAGGGCGTGAGCTCATAGTCCATATCGGCCCACACCACACCGTCGACCAGAGCCGCCAGATCTGGCGCCTGAGAGCCCAGAAGTGAGACTTTATTATGTGGGGTTGATGGCTATATAGACAGGAAATGGGCATACACAGAAGAAGCAATGTAATGGGACGCGTACCTTGATTTTGGATGCGCTGGATACACATGGAGTGGGAGACAAGGGCTTATTGTCGAGAGCATTACCGGAATCACAGTGCAATTGGGCGATATCCTTGTCGCGTCCCCCTCGAGTTTCAGGATTCGCACGGTTCACTTGGATGGCTCGCGTCCTTGTGCGCGATGAAGTTGGGGTTCTAGGGCCATGCAAACGAGTGTTTCGCGAAGGGAGAGATACGCTGACAGCCGAATCCAGATCTGAAAAGAGCGCGTCAAGGTCGAGCTCGTCCTGAGATGATTTGCGTTTGAGAGAGGGCATCGCGTCGCGGTTGTTTATCGCAATACCGGAAGCAAATGAAGCACACGATCTTCTCACGTTCGTGTCAGTATGAGACCGATGTACCAACTGAATCTGATAACAAAGCACAGTGGGAGTAGACTCATTTCTACTTCTTTATATGGCTCTAGTCTCCGACGCTCATACCTCTACGGTTGGTTCATTCACATTATTGTGCATACAATCCGAAACTTATGGCATCCGTCAGTGCCTTCTTCGAGCCCCAGAATGCTTTCCAAGGCACTGGTTTCGACCTCAGATGCCATTATATTTGATCTCGAAGATAGTGTAGCCCCCAATTCCAAACCTCAGGCTCGACAGGACCTAGTCAAATTTCTCTCAGTACGTCGTATTTTCAAGCGATGTCAATGCAAAAAACCCGGTTCCTGACGGTTCCCTAGGACCTGAAAGAAACGTCTATGGATCGATATTGTATTAGGATCAACGCTTTGGATACGTCATTTTTCTCTGCTGATATAAGTCATGTTGTGCGTGTTCATACGTTTCGGTCTCGCTGCGCGCTAGAACGGCATACGTAGATTGAAAAATCTACCGTGAAGACCGTTGTATTGCCAAAGGTTCATTCTGCTGCAGATCTTACCAACATTTCTCGTCATGTCCCCAGCAATCGCAAAATTAACATCATTGCCAGTGTGGAGAGTGCCAAAGCACTGTGGGCAATAGGAGATATTGCATCATGGCGCTCTGATAATATGGAAGTGGTTGCTCTTCTTGTACGTAATGCCCCAATGAATGGCTCTTGTCGGCTATCTGAACATGGCTATTCCAAGTTTGCCGCAGAGGACTGTGCGTGATGTCAGTGATTTTGATTTACGACCGTGTTCTGAATCGCTTGGAATGCAATAGACTGCGCAGACACTGGTATTCAACGCTCTCGTTCTCGGAACGAGCTTCTCTACACAAGATCTCGTGTTGTTGCCGCGGCCAAGGCATTTGGGCTTCAAGCAATAGACATGGTACTAAGTCCGAACTCGAGTTCTCACACTAATGTGTTGATTAAACATAAACCCCTCAGGTATGCGTCAATTACCGAGACCCCGAGTATCTCAAAGAAGAATGTGAGGAAGGCAGACGACTGGGATACGATGGGAAGGTTTTTGAAAATGTCCCCTGTGGCAAGAGCAATGTTTAACCATTTAGTTGGCGGGACAGCAAGCGATTCACCCCACGCAAGTGGAGACCATACATACGGCATTTTCCCCTTCGTCGCAAGGTACTCGCTCATTAATTTTTATTTTATTTCGTGCACGTTGCAACGATACTGATCCCACGTAAATTCTTTAGAAATTTCCCGGGCGGTCAAGATTCTAATACAAATGGATCGTGCCTGGAAATCTGAATCCCGAGGCGCCTTTGGGCTAGAGCTAGAGGGTGGTGGAAAGGAAATGATCGATGAACCCATGGTGAAACAGGTGCGTACATATCGTTGTTGATATGTTGTGGATCAACATCGATTAGGTCAGCTCTATTAGGCTAAAGTAATTATTGCCAAGGCCAAAGTCGCGAACCTTTCGCTCCCAGACCTCGACATTTTACATCAGACTTAAATTTATGCCTTGGCGATCCTTTGTTGCCGTTGTAGAGTAATGTAAGCGAGATATTGCCGAGTATGATGTTCTGGTGACTGCCGAAATCTACCGGCCTGTTAAAAGACAACGGTTTATTACGGTTATTGATCTCTCCTTTCCTCCCTAACAGCGCAGCTCTCTCCCTCCTTCACCTACGTTCGTTAACTTGGGTCAACGCATCGACCATGTTTTCCCACTCTTTTGTTATTGCTATTGCTAGCGCTCTCTATGTCCAATGTCTGTGGATCATTTCTAAAGCAATACGATGGATACTGAGAACCCTCTGACAACAGCAATCGCGGCCTCCAAATGCACTCGCACTTACACTGTGAGGGAAGGCGACACATGCGATAGTATCTCAGCGGCTCACAATGCGTCCACGTGCGCAATTATCTTGGCTCCACCGGAGGCATCATCTTGCTCACCCAACAATTTCAGATATCAACTTGCTGTTGTCAACCCTGCGATTGATTCGGGGTGCTCGAACCTTGAGATCGGACAAGTTCTCTGTCTTGGCACCATGGGGGCCGACTGCACCAAAACATACACTGTTGTCGCGGGTGATGTGTGCGAATCCGTGGTTGGGGCGTATGGAATCGATTTGCCTCTGCTATATGCCAACAACCCGATTCTCGACGTAGCATGCGACAACTTGTACATCGGAGAGGTCGTTTGCGTCGATAACAAGTACAATGTGCCCTCCTTAGCCACCAACCGGACTAAACCGGTCCCCCCTCCATATGCCGTCCCCGCTCTCCCCTATTGTGACGAGATTTAGGCGTCTATTTTATTAGGCATTTATTTTATTAAGATATGATCACTGAGTAGCTGGCACTCTAGGCCCCTCTTTCTTGTTGCTGGGATCCCCGGCTTCAGTCTCACCATTTGTTCATTTTTACCACGCCAGCTTTTTGTCACCTTGATGTCTTGTTGTGTCCCATGCTGCTGTGTATACCCTCTTGATTTCTGTCGCTCAGTGCAAAATGTCTTTGCTCATTTATCACATGCGTCACCGGGCCACACTTCAAAGTGCCTTTTTGATCATGATAAGAGCTAGGGGCGACTCCACCTCGACTTGATCCGAAGGTGACTTCAGTTCGTCTGTTACACCCTCCTTCAGACGTCGCATGAACCGCTGTACGATATCGCCATCGGCATGGTCGCGGTCCTCAGGGTGCTTGGCATGGAACGTATGCAGGGCACTCCATGTCCGCAGATAATTCTCTAGCTCCCTCCATGTCATAATCTTGCGAAGGATGACCTCGCGCATCTCCTCACTGGCGCCCGGCGTCAGTCGAATCGCTGGATTCGGTCCCGTAGTGCTATAATGATCCCCGACATAATAGACGCGCTGGCCGGACGAGGCATCCCAGGAGGGTTGAGTGGGAAACGCACGGATTGTAAATGATCTTGAAGAATGCTTCGCCCAGGTTGTTCCCAATATTGGCCAAGGTTCCGAGTAGGAACAGCGCTATACTCATCGATCTCATGAGTGAGCGAGGGGTACTTCGTGAGTCGGAATCGGAGTAGCACTGACAAGGCACCAAAGCAGAGAAAACCGATGAGGCAAAGGGAAAGAGAACGGCTGATATTACATTTCAATGGAGGCGTACCCAGAAAGCAGCAGACCCACCCCTCTTCAGGGTACGAGCAAGCTCTGGCCAAAGATGTTCATAATCGAACCAATGCGCCGACTGGGCTGAGTCAATAAGCAGTGTCCATTAATCCGAAGGCCCGATGATGGGTAAGATATATGAAATCACCGGCAGTGACCAGATCAACGCTCTCATCCTCGATGAAAGATAGGTCTTCTGCTTTGGCGTTAACGAACGTGAGGCGTCCATCCCCCCCGTGCTGCTCCTGTGCGGAGGATATCATGCCGGGAGACGGATCGACCCCGACCACATTTTGAAATCGTTCAGCGAGAACCGACGTCGCTTGTCCTGGGGGTGCAGCAGATTGAAGTGGTGGACCATCCTGAACGGGAAGTTCAATTTACCTGTACCACATCCTAAATCCAGTGCCTTATCCCATTGAGTGGAAGGGGAGTCATGAAACTGATAGATCCGATCAAAGAGTGATTTTGGATACGTAGGCCTGGGGGTGGTGAAGAATTAGATGGCGTACAGTCAAGGGTTTCTTCAATAATCACCGAGAGTTCGCGTATAGCGCAACTTTGAAAGAGGCTTTGGAGAATGTACTCATAATTGATAAGCACAGCCGCCTCGGTATATGCCACAGTTCATATGCAAGCGAATGCGTGCATACAGTCCCACATATTGCGCTTACTACAAGGGCAGAGCCATATTGACAAAAGAGGATCCAACCGCGGTTCGAACGCGGGACCTCTCGCATGGTTCACCCAAAGCGAGAATCTTACCTCTAGACCATTGGACCTGCTGCCGGTGAGGCAAAGTGTCGCTGTTTTCATCATGTGGCTTCCGTTGGCGCTCGCTCGAGCGTCGGACCTCAGCACGTGCTCTTGCGGCCTACTTTCTGAATCCCAGCCCGCCGAATCAATTTCGGGATAGAACGGATAGACATGAGACGGAAGGTCATTGGAAGCTTTCCAGCGCCCTATAAGGGCATCTGATCCCCTTCGTTGTCCCACCCGAATGTTACTCACAACGTTCTTATCGAACCAACCCTTCAGTTCCGATTTCTCCGTCTCCGTTCCTTCTTCGCTAACGCGCTTCACAAGCTCCGCTACCACAAAAGCCCCGTTGCCCAATGCCATCCGTATCATATTCTCGCGCCCAACGACTTGCATAAACTGCGAAGCAAACGAAGAGGGTGAAAAAGAAGAGACGACTTGTACACTAGATGTTGAGCGGTCAAAGTGACCCCCTTGGATAAGAGTTTTGAAGAGTCGAGATGAATGTGGAATATCGATTAGGTGCATCAATTCGCCATTAGAAGGAACTGGGGTGGGGTACGGTTTTGAGAGGGGCGCGAGAAGTGCCTTTATAGCAGCAGTTTTATCTAAGATAAATGGCATCAAAATGACTGCCTGAGAAAGCAGAACAGGTGATGACATACCCCCTTCCGTAAAGAGCATGATTTCAACCACGAGCAAGCTGGCGCCGGGGTCCCGACAGAGCTCCTCAGCATTGTGAACGACGAGATTCAAGAGTGATTCACTTGCTGCCATTCGAAGCTCTCTTATGCGGATTTCCGGATCCTTTTTGCTAGTGCGCGTACGCGAATCGTCCGTTTCGGCAAGAATATTGACGGTCGCAGGAGTGAAGTGCCGAAGAGAACGAGGAACGAGTAAGTACAGTAATGCTCGGCGTCCGCTTTTGTGAGAATCAAAGGCAAACGTTGATGCATGAACAATTATTTCTGACACAACTGATTTGCTCATGAGCTTTGTATCACTACGGAGAAATAATGATTTGGCCTGGTACGAATTGTGCTGAGAGAGAGAACTCACTCAACGACATCTAAAGTTGTGAACAGTACCAATTGCGCCTCCTCGTCCTTACACATCCGCTCCAGGTGAGGCTTCAGGACTTTGATGATTTGTTTCCGGTCCTAATAACTCTAAATTCAGGCCATACCCTACAATACCCCATCTGTCCAAACGAACCTTGGCTGTTCCTTGAGCCACAAATTCCCGGACGGCACGGCTCCCATCTTTCGTGTGAACCATTTCAGCCACAAGCTCTTGGCAACTGCAACGAGTAATTGGAAGGAATCCCACATTAAATTCGAAATTCCGAGCGTACCTCTCGAAAATCTCATGCCGCTTTTTATCCTGCTCCGCAACATCCGAAATTTCGTTAATAACCTGTAGATATTCCCACAGGGCTCGATGCACAATCCCATGCGAAATAGCCCCTTTGTCGGGATTATTAAATCTAAAGACCAATATCTCATCGTCAGATTATCCAGTTCTACCCAACCAAACCAGGCCTTACATATTGATCAGATTATCTTTCAAAGCTCCTAGGATACGCTTCTTCCGTTCAGTATCTGCACCGTCGAGAACCATTTGAAGCCCTCGCTTCTTATCCCCACCCGTTGATGCTGTATCTGGGGTATCAAACAGAGCCACTTCTTTACCGTAAAAATCCCGAAGAAGTAGATCCCGTTGGGCTGCGTTCGAGTACAATTCGTAGGCATCAGCTACAACGGGCGAAGCTTCTCGATGCAAAAGGAGACGCATGACGTGGTGCTGGAACTCGGATATTATTGAGGCCCGTTGGCTGGGGCTGATAAGAACGATCTTTAATTGGTTGAGGCAAGACAGAGAAGCATGGATCGTACCAGTAACGCAATAATTTTGTAACCAAAAACTGAGAATTCTCAGTTGGACACCCGTACATCCGATGAGCTCGAGGCGACCTACTTTGGCATATTTATTCTGAGCTAAGTCACGATATCTCCCTTTGAGTTCAACTGCTACTTCGTCCCGCTCTTGTGAGGTGCCACATTTAATGATCTGTAAGTTGAATTCACGATAAATATTTGCTCATCTGACATTTCACCAGAACTGACCGTCTGGACCACCCGACTCGCGTCATGTTTAAATACCACGTCTTGGATCTTCCCACGCACCGCATCCATCAGCACCTTCACATGCTTTTGACGCTCCGCATGTGAGATATTCTTCTGTCGGGCAAGAGACCACTGCCGTTTGGCCAGGCTGAGAACATCTGCATGAGGTTTTGCTGCCTGACGTTGGCGTGTTACTTCCCGTTGGGCCTTGTGGGATTCCCGCGAGGCTGGAAAGGAGCCAGTAAGGGGAATGTTGGCGTTGTCACTGGTGTACTAAAAACATACCATTTGGATTTTTTGCCAATAGGCTTGCCTTCATTTCGGGATTATTGACCCCCTCGCCCAGGTCTGCACCTTCGTCAGCAGCAAAATCACCTTCATTCCCTTCGTCTTCGGACTCTGGATCATCGTGTGCATCGGCAGGTACAGTAATTGGAAGGCGACGCTTTTTCCCGTCGTAGTCAGGATTGCTCTTATTTTGCCCAACGGCCTTCGACTTAGACACGGCCACCTTCTTTGTTGGCGGACCGTGGGCTTTCGAAGAGGGTGCACTCCGTTTGACTGCCGTTCGAACTGGCATGCTAATTTTTGGATGATATTCGGTTAGCTCCGGGACTCAGTTTGAATTGTGGGACGAAAGCATTCCCCTCAAACTTCATGGATTGGAAAGGCGGCGTATGCTCTGTCTCTCAGGCTACCTGGTTGTGATTTGCCGCAACACGTTCCAGGCTCTCGCTGCGACAATCTACGACTTTGAGCCCCTGCATCCCCCACTCGACCGAGCATTGCAAGCTCGGTCATGCGCATGCTTTGGCGGTAGTCCTCCTTCGATCCGGAGACCCACCATATGGACGGCGACAAGACTGCTCTGATGAACACTGCACACTGTTGGAATTGGGGATGGGCGAGCTCTAACGCTCATCGCTTAGTCAGTACATAGTTTCTCGACACGAAGTTCCCTCAAGAGCTCTGATCAAATGCTGTATCTTTCCTCTCGTCGTGCAAATCTAAGTTGCTCCGCACCGATTCTTCAACACACACTTGACTCAGAGCCCTAGAAATCACGACTACAGAATGTCCACAGTATCTGGACTCGCGCTTCGATTAATATTACGAAACTTGGCAAGCGATGATCGGGATTGTTTGCACAAATTTGTGCAAACAATTTCCGGTGCATTGAGGCGGATTGGGTCGGTGTAAGGACCTTTATCTGATGAGGACCAGTGTTCATTAGGCTTTATTTAACACCCCAAACTGCAACGGCCCGGTTCATTTCTTGGCCGCCGAGCTGGAACTGATGAATTTTTGTAGCTACTGGAATCATTGGCCAGTCATTGAGGGGGGTTACATGCTATTTCACCTCTGCGGGTCCACGGTTAGAGGATCACAGTTAATTAGAGGTATCCTGATTTGACGAGGGCCGGATTTAGTCAAGCCTTATTTATCTCCACAATGGTGTAAACACAAACCCACTTCATTTGCGTGCCCAGCTGGAATGCCCGGACCTCTCGCCTTGATCTCGTGCTCGTGGATTTCGAGAACTAATTGCTTATCACTTCTCTGCGCACGACACACTAGTGCCAAGGAATGGGAAGTGGTAGTGAACGCCATATATTGCACACAGCCCACAACTCTTCTCCCCCATCACCGTTCTCAATCACTCTGTTGGTTGGTGGTACATGCCGTTAACAATACAACAACAGTCCAGGATTTTTTCTCCCATTTCCAATTTCGCTCGCGAAGTAACTGCACTCGACATGGGCGGGGAATGTTTGCCACATATTGTAATAGATTCCATCTTCCAAAGGGTATTAGTATACCCTGATCCGACGTGCTCTGGACTTGAGGTTGGGGCACTATTTTGCTTCCGAAAATTAGATAAACTATTCAATTGTCGCTGGGGCACACGACCAGAATATTGGGCCAAAGTGAGGATTTCGTTATCTTTGGCCCGTTGTACTCTCCCCAAGTCCCCTCGTTGCAAATAATGACCATTTGGCTCCCTCTCGCACTCGTTTTTGCTCTTGTTGTGTGGGCTGAGGCCTCTCCCACATATTCTCAGACACCTTTGCGTCCGGATGGCGAGGAGACTCTATACGCTCGCAGTATTGATCTGATACGATTTAATGTCACTTCCACGGACCAGAAACTTCGCCTCCTGGAGTTAGCCAAGGTAATGGGGACTGGGACATGTCTCGGATCCGACATATCTCTTACGTGGACTCCGAGGTAGGCTTCAGATGCAGACGTTTGGACAACAACCCCGGAATATATAGATATAGCCTTTCCCCCTGCACTTCTGCCCCATCAATTCGCCAGTTTCGAGCACAGTACCACCCGGCATTCAATTCCACCCAACCCCAATCCTCCATCTTTGGTCCTCTCCTCAAACTGGAATTTGAATCATTTACGGTCAGATTTCCACAACGAGTATCATCGGGTTGAAGAGATCTTTTCCTTTGCAAACGAATTGGCCAAGGCTTTCCCACTTACTATTGAGCTCGTGAGATTGGGACAAAGTAGTGAAGGCCGAGAAATACTAGGTATCCGTGTGGAGAAGGCGAGTCTTCCTCCTTGTAGACTCTTTCTGATTCTTATCCGTGATTCTGCCAGCCCGCCGAAAAGAAACTCAGGCCCCGGCTCATAATTCAAGGTCCGCAACACGCAAGAGATGTCAATGAGCTTATCGTGCCAATTGTGGATGGCATCATGCTCATCAATTTTAATCTTTAGTGGATTGCCGCTTCATCAGCTCTATATTTGACACATGCTCTCGCAGCGCCGAGAGGACAACCGGGTTCTCTACACACGCTTCTTGACAAATTTGTTTGTGCTTGCGCTTCTTACATACCTGTCAATCATGGATTCACCATGGGCGTTTAGGCCTTTACTATCAT